TAAAAAAAAGGTCAGGTTAGGTAAAATAAATATAGGTATAGGTAATATATTAGGTATATTATAAGTACAGTGTAATATGATAAATGTGTACGAGAACGGGATGTAATGCGTTTTTGACGAGACTTTTCTATAGCATGACCTCAATTTTTATTGAGTTTTGCAATCGCCAGTGTGACAATAATTACTAGCCGACTTACAAAACATAAGTCTAGAAGTAAAAATCGTTTATTTGCTAAAAAATATTCTAGTTAGGACAACGTTATACGTTATCAAAAAAATACTTATTATGAAATCAAAATATGATGACTTTACATCGAAAATAAATAATCGAAATGGCAGGTACCTTTTTAAATACTTAATTATTTGGCTTAACTTGAATGTCATATAATTTTTTTTTATTTTTTAAAACGATGATAACTTCTATCAAAGCATTTTTTTTAAAGACTGATATGAAATTCTTTCAGTCATCTTTAACATCTTATTGATTTTATAATTGATGTGTTTACTTTAAATCCACCACGAAGCGAGTAGATTGTTTTTTTTTTAATATAATGGAATTTAATAAAAAAAAACAAATTTATATTTTGTATTTTTTCTTATATTTTTTGTGAATAATTCAAGTAAAATGGATTAATTTTTTTAAAAATATTATAAATGTACTCTAATAAAATTAGAAAAAAAACACCTTTATAAAACTGTTTACTTTTACTAACCAAATATATAATAAAAATAGTTTGTTGCAAACTCCAGTATGCTGCAGACCTATTGACCGGTAGTGGCCAGTGGGTCAAACGCGACGGGACTTAAAATTTTGGTTGATTATTTATGTTCAAGTTCAACTTGAAGCATTCTTCGTTCAATTTGGACGGATTAATGTGTTATTTACAAATACATTCCAGCATAAATATATAATTTTTTTTTATGTATAAATAATTAATAAGATGTTTAATAATTATTAATAAACAAAAATGATTTAAATTAAATAGGTACTGTTTATAAATAAATGAAAAAAATTAATTTTTTTTATGAATTTGATTAATTCATATTTTCATATATCATCAAGACATATAATATAACTGATAGTTTGTTTAAAAATGATATATAAACATATTATATTCCATTTTCTGGTGTATTACAAATAAAGTTGTTAAACAAATATTTTATCTTGTCAATATTTTGCCCGATTCTGCGTTTTCCTTGTACGATCACCTGTTGTGTGTATAATATTGTTACAAAAAAAAGCACCTTAGATTGAATAACGACCGTTAAACGTTAATGATGTCCCGGCTCAAGAGTGTGGGCGAAAGCGATTCGGGGTAATTGGCGCCACCTCGTTATCGCAAAAACGAAAAACATCCGATCTTAACAAACAACGTCGTTTACTCAAATGGGGGAGGGGGGAGAATAGCGGGGGTCCGTACATTACCGGCCATAACCCCTCGTTGTTGCCTTTGTTTACGGTGTAATAGTATTATGTACTTGCCTTGTGTATGTTTATCCATGACCGGCTTTGTTACCGTGTGCACATACTTAGGTATTTTCGGATTAATTAAACTGCCCGGTCCCGCCGAGATTAATGCTTGTTCCTCGGGAGACGACTATAATATTATGTAGACAACAGGATAATAAAACAACGTCTTCTCGATGGTGCTGTTGACGATTTGCATGCACTGAGTATATTATATGTGTAAATGATATACATGTAATCACGGCTTACTATGGATATAGGTACTGTAGTCGAACGTTCAATATAAATTACCATGCCCCAAGGGAGACCGCCGGTGCTCTCCGTTTTAGGGAAAAATACATAGACAACTTTCGTTACACCAACCCCTGTCCCTCCTCGAACGAAGAAACCTTTACCACGTGTGTAGTCGTTTGTTTACAGCTAGTCTGCTCAATTTATCACCGTGTCATCCGTAGTGTTCATTCGCTGTGCTTTCTGTACACGCCGGTCTAGACCTAGTAATCCAGTTATTTACAATAAAGTCATTTCACTCGAAACCAAAAACACAGTTTCACTTTTGTATTCTTTCTTAAAAAAAACAGAAATTTTTTAATTTGACCCACTTAAGTAGGACGTTAAGTCAACAAGCTCTACTACGAAGGTGTATTTATAATATTTTAAGCATTGCTGATATTTTTTTTTGTAATCGGGCCCTTACTTATTATAATATATTTAAATTTATAATTTGTTAATCGTTAAAAACCAACAAGGGACTTGTTTTATTTTCTGAAACCCACTCACAACCAATTTTAATTCTTATGAAATAACGAGATTTAATTTTAATTTAAAAACTGTCAATGTGCGTCTGAAGTCTAAACGTTTCTTTTTACATTTACATACCAGTGATATAATCCTAAGAATAATATTTTGATACTTTATCGCATTATCACTGACAAAAGTTATTTTTTATTATTATTTTTTTCCTCTTTTCACTTTTCCTCATTTATATAATATAGAATATGGCAGTCAAATTATTGCACTTCCAGGTCTTTGTTTACAATATCCACCCACTTCTTCTGTAGTCTATACCTTTACCTCTAAAATCGCCTACACTAATTTTTTTTTAATTTAACCTTTTTTCCGCCATCTAACCTGACTTTAAAAATACCGAAACTATCTTAACTCATGTGCTTACAAATTCTTTCTTTTTTGTCTTATATCCAATCGTGTCAGATAAATATTATATAAACATTACGATTCCAGTTCCAGAGTTTTTTTTTAAATGTCAAATTTCATATTCCATTATCTCCATTCCACGAGGAATGTACTGCATTGCTATATCTTTGGTGGAAATGCTATTAAATAAAACAACTTTAGCTAAAGCAGTTTTATGTTGTGGTAATACTGGCGTGGCAGCGTGGCGTGAATACTCAATAGTAACCACAGTTCAATAATTATTTTCAGGACACCACCCATTTGTCGTTGTATAATATATTTTATACTTATAAATGTGTATGCAAACAAAAGACATTTTTTATTGCTTGTTTAATTCTTACCCGGTGTTGGAAAGCTACAGTTTTTCGACCGCGGTAGTCGTAAAATGAAGTTTTGGGAATTTTCGCTATACCACCGTCGTATAACCGAGCGGAGCAGAAAATGGTAAAAAAGTATATTTGTATAAACTTTAACAGGATTCCATTTTGTTGCGAGTTACATGTAATAGTGTCTATATACAACATGTATCTTGGGGTCTTGGCTTTCGGATATGCAAATACAAAAAAAAAAAAAACAGAAACAGACAACGAGAACGCACCACCACACGGCATAACATAATACCGTGGTCGTCCTCCGGGAACCCGCCGCTGCCGTAGTTACTTTGGAAGTTAATCCGAAGTTTACTTCCAAACTTCCCCGGCAGATGGTGATTGTATATGATACACATATTATAAACGAGCCGACACCCCGAAAGTTGACCGCGAGCAAATATTAATTTTACACAAAACTTCATCTCCCTCGATGGCTTTTGTACGTCGAGTAAAAATCCAATCACCTTCGCTATGTTCCCCTCTTCTACCTATCTCCTTCCCCCTCCTTCTTCCTACCGCTCTATTTATCTAATTATCTCCTCGAGTCGTTACGTTTTCTCCATCTAGTCATCCCCAAAGGCTAAAATTATTATTACTCTAAAACTAAATCCCAACGACGGGAAATTAATATTGAACAGCTTGTCTGGTATGACGTTCAAAAGTAATAGAATACTTACACAGAAAATATATATAGTATACTATAAACAGCTATATTTTCGATTAAATAATCTTTATTAGCTATAAAATTTTCATAAGAAATCTTTATTAAATTTGATTACCACTAATAATAATTAAAAAATGTTTAAGTTAAAAAAAAATTAGTTTTTTCTTTTTAAAGGGTAGTTAAACGGTAAAATGTAGTTTTTTTTATTGTACAAAATATAAACAAGTATAGGTAATTGACATAAATTACATTGCTATCACAGAAAAACGATATCAAAAAAAAAAATTTAGTTCGAATTCTGTAAACTACTTGAGAAAAGAGAAGTATTTTAAGAATTGTTTGCATCAACTGGGGTCGAAAAAATACTAAAAATAAAAATATATACCAACTTACACAAAGTTATGTGATTGAAAATTAAAAGTAATATACCTACTTTTTATTTTGTTTTTATGATAAAACTTCAACTTTAATCTAATGTTTAATTAATAATAAAAAAAGTAGTACACGGGTTAAACGGACCAGAAACAAAAACAAACAGAGTTGGTAAATTACTTTAAAGTGTACTAAATCCAGAAGAATACCTGGGTATGAGTATTTTGGTCTTTGCGTCAAGGTTACACTTTAGTCTGTTCGATTTTTGTACGAGCAATTAAATAACACAGTAGTTTATATATTTTTTTTAGGTGTCGCATATATTTCACGCTTAGTTAGCCATGTTAACGATAAATTATAGGTACCAATAGGTAAACTTACTACTCATGTTAACAAAATAAGTAAACATATTTTTAATATTATGTTCTAATCCGCTGTGATCTGTTCTCTCAACAGCTGTAAGTGTATAATTATTATTTTCAGTTTTTTTGTAATATCGACCATTAAAAAGAGGTGGATATTTTATCTATTCCGCACCCTTGGGGCAAATAATATGAACATTTTTTTTTTAAATGCTTAAAACCACTTTTTTATACAATATTTTATTATTACAGTATAATATCGTACATAGCTGCTGCCCTGTTATACGTCATGAGAGATCTTAGCGGTTTTATCTAGGTAATATAATTATCTAGAATCTGAAATAAAAAAAGTCAAGGGGGTATCTATCCATAATAGGACGCCAATGTAGTGGCTGGTATATTTTTTCGACGGGCATCAATTTCTTATTGGGGAACCTCGGTCGTTGTGCCGACCACGGCCGCGTGTCCTTGGCGAGTTTTACGTTTGTTGGCTACACTGTGCCCGTGAAACGACCTCACCGGTCCGACAGGTAGGTAGGTAGTACCTAGTAAGAGTAAACAGGTACGGTGTGTGCACACCAGCAACAGCAGATATCAACGTGATACTGCCACGCTACACCAGGCCAAAACAATAACATCGGGACCCGCGACGGGCAAACACAGAGACGATTCGTGCGGTGTGTAAGAAACGCGGGTGTGTCGTGCCGTGTTTTCGAGACGGAATTTTTCGGTTTTTTTTTTTTGGTTTTGTTTTGTTTTGTGAATAAATTGTAGTTTTTTTACTCGTGCGTTTGGCGACAGTGTTGTAAGTACTATATTCGTATTTTGTGCGGCGACCAGTGATGGATTCCACCGCGGTCTCGGCCGGGACCAGCAGGTGACACGTTCTCAACAGGTGAGTTCAAAAAGGCCGTCCGTTTCGCATACCTGAGAGCCGACGACGGATACCTCTACGTACAGCGACGGTCGTTTTGAAATATTCTAACGCGCCCTTTTTTTTCCACATTTCTATACCAAACAATATTCAAAAATCCGAAGCAATCGACCAAATCTTCGCGTCCAGATTCCCATCCGACAGAGTATAAAATATCCTATATTGAATTAAATACATTAGAGTAGGTATATATCCGCCGAGGTGTGCGGGTGTTATTATTAAAATTTTGACCGAGTAACTCTACTCGATGTACGAATGCAAATAATATTGTTATCAAACAGTGTACATACACATACACTCGGATTGTGTACAGCCAAACTCGTGTATGAGCGGTTGTCATGTCGAGTATGTACCACGACCTAGAAGACCCGCACGGCGGCGATGGAAGATTTTAATGCACGACCACGAACTACTTAACAACACACGCCTATTGCGCATTATTGTATGGAAATTTTCAAATTATAACAATCGCACGTTACCCACTAGGTGGACTATGCTTAGGCCTAAAAAAAAATAATAATACCTTATTAAAATCTCAAAAATGGTCGCGCCCGTAGGATAGATGAAAAGAATATTATTATAATAATATGACCGTTTCTAGATACGAATGAACAACGGCAAGACCTAACCGTGTCGAGACGACATGTAGCAGAATAATAGGACTGCTATATTTTAATAACCGCGCGCAAGTGAAATATTAATTGATTTTTTTATTCTTTTTGCCCAAAGTAATTTAGTACAGTTTTTTTTTAATATAGTATTTACTTACTCGGAAAATAGTATACAGTGATAATAATAAAATAACGTGTATAAAGTGTACGTGCCGTTTTTACGATTCGTCGTAGGTCACGTCTAGCGTTCAAAACGCATAGGACAAAATCGCGGTTTATAACAGTTTATTTTTACATAAAAAAAAAATAATAATAATAATATACATAGTATTAAGTTATACCGGCTGACAGGCGTTCGTTCTCTAAATACAACAATGTAATGATGGAGCGGTAATTTCGATGCTAGGCAGTGTTTGCGCATTTGCCGTGTGCTATTTTCCATTGACATAACGTGCAACTTTTAGCGGCACCGTTGGTAATTTCTAGAAAAAAAAAACAGCTATTCACGTACCACGTATGTCCACTTTGATCAACGTGTCCAAAGAAAATGACAATTTTTGAAGGGAAAAATACCGATTAACGATACAGTGTACGCTCAACTGTACTCGTGTCGGGGCTGGCCAAAGTATTGAAAAAAAAACCTTAATTACATATTTAAGTTACTACCTTGTTACAAAGAATTCCAGATATTTTGTTAAAAATAAGAACGTTGCAACCAAAAATATTGAATAACTCTTTCCCGTAGAGGTGTCGGTGGAATTAGTGTTAATGACAAAACTCCAATTAATAACAATATTTTTCTGCAGTTGTTGTTTTTAATTAAATTTGTAATTTTCAATTACAAAATGTCACTTATATTTGATCAGTAAAATACACTGTAAATGCAATATTGTGTTTTTAATAATTTTACAAGGTTTTGTAAAATTTAATTACACACTTAAAGATACTATAAAATACTTGAGTAACAGCAATTCAAAAACTGCCACCGTCATACAGTGTATCAGTACACGCGATCAGCATCATCTGATTAAATACTTATTACGTACAGCTGTCGTTGAGAAATTGGACTTGAAATGATTCATATATCTATATTGCTATACATTACTTTAACGACCTCCTAAACGTAGATCGTGGTAAGGCTCTGTCATTGATCACACTGAACTCTGCTACTATGTACACTTGGCGCAATACTTACAGTTATATTTTTTTAAATTTTAAATCCACTCAAGTACGCATATGAACCACAATTAATGCAAACGTCGTTCTATACATTATACAATGATCCGTAACCATCGCCTAACGGTATGCCGACTTGGTCATCAGTCGGCGACTGCCCGTGAAATTGTTTTATAAAATATATTATGATAGTCTTGTATAGCGGATAATTAATCAAGCTGCTTCCGTTTGGCATTTAATTTTACCGAGAATACATTTTGGACAAAAAAAAACCTCTAATACAAACCAAATATGATCAAAGAAGATGTCAAAGACGTTACGAATCGTTAAACTATTGTTGAACTTGAACTTGCTAGTCTCGGCAACCGACCGATTAATCGTTGCATGGGTTAAGCACACACGTGTCACTGTACCATAATAATAACAATAATTATATTGTACGTTTTTTAATTCTAAAATTATATACTGTAACACTCCCATGCAATCAAAGTGTTACTCGAGGGATTTGAGAAAAAAATACATGTTAGCTTTGCCCTGTAGACTACAATATCTTCCTCGTATCGGGATACCTACAATAAAATAACCGACAGTAAACCGGTAATAGATGAGTCATTACTTAAGAATCTTTTGACTATCGCGACTTTCTTGCTCCAGGGGTCACAATTATTGTGTCGCTTATAACTAACTAAGAATCAATAAAAATAAAATATATATTATTATTATTTTTACTAATAATTCAGTCCATCTTTAGAGCAATATTCATCGCTCCACTGTCGCGACTATACAGTACAGTATATTGTATACTATAGTGATGGGTCCGAAACGTCAACATATAAACAAACACTTGTTTACTAGAATTCATAGTTTAAGTTTTTTTTTAAATTCACATAATTACAAACTTGAATCACTATTGATCACTTTTCGGGGGACTTCTAGAAATAACAAAATTCTGGGAATATTTTTCAGCAATCGTTATTCAGAAGTCGGACTGAGTAGATGAAAATGTATATTTTTATTCAAAGTCAACACTAACTCGGTAAAAAAACAGTTAAGTTTTTTAGGGTATGATACAACCCAATAAAACCTTGCAAAACCCACATTATTCGGTAAATGCCAAACATTTGCTGAACCCGCTGGGGTTAGTTTGTTGAGGTTTATATTGCGTTTTACCGACTTTGTTCAGAGTTGATGATATTATATTTTCAGGCCCTGCGGTTGAAGCATTTACCTAAAGCCATGGTATAATAATGTTATGCAATCATACAATATTCTCGTTTTGAAGGCATATAATTATTTACCAGAAGTCAAGGTCACATACTAAAATTAGAATAATTAATTGGGTCGGACGTTACCGAATGCGTTTTCACAGCCGACTCAAATCGAAACAAGAATGCTCGTCGACCCGATCGTGCCCACTGTAATGCTACAACTGTTACACTGTAATATTATACAATGGTCGAGGAGCCTCTTGCATCGACCATTTCTTTACCTTTGAGCAATCCACACAAGATGCAACGCTGATGTACCTACTATAAGACCGTGAGACTGAATTCGGCGGTCGACCGGTGATGATAAAGAGGTACACGAGTTGGCGACAGCCATTTGAATTATATATACAAACATATTATAATAATATCTGTATAATATTATCTCATCCCATTATACGCCTCCTACCGATAGCGCGTTGTTTTCACTGGACTGTAAACTCACAGTTCAGTGGTTGTATTGAAAAGAGGGTACAAAATATGTGGTCCGTGTACAGTAAACAATATTATTATTATATAGGCCTATGACGCAATGTATATCCGATGGACTCGAGCGTCGTTTTTTTCCCCGAGAGAGGCACATCCTATATACTTAAATTTCATATTTCTGTCCTACAACAGCGCCAGTATCATAACTAAGCACTAGAAATGCATTTCCTGATGGCGTTCGTTGACGTTTCTAAAGGTGACCTAGATTTTTTTTTTGGTCTTTTTTTATTTATAAGCAATCACGTGGTTCCTGTTCCATATGTTAACATGTCTAAAGTGAAAATGTCATCCTCGAAACAGATCACACCGTAGAACCCATCTGATATAATATTGCGTCACCCAAGACTTAAAGGCCAAACATATGTACTTTGTGTTTTTAAATGAACAAGTGCAGGTACTTAAATTCCTATTCGCCGCATAAGTAGGTGTATTAATAATACAATATTTCTGTACGTGGACGTGTAGTATTCGTTTTGCGTTACGCCAAAGATGCTATAATGTCAAATTTGATTTTAATAGACCCGTGGGTCTAAGAACCAACTTTTAAATTAACCTCGACCTACGAAAACAGCCGGGGGGCTGTTGCAACTTATGGAAACTGTTTGACTTATGCAAACGGTTTTGAGTAAAGAAAGAGATTGTTTTAAACAAATTTAGGCCACCATCGACATTGTTGTGAACATTTTCCATCGTTACCAAAACGACGGCGACGTGTCAACGCGAGCCGTCTCCCAGAGATACAATAATACTAAATTGTTTATCACAAGAACACGGCCTTTTTGTTTATTTTAAACGTCATAGACGACAGTTTTATTATTTTACCATATACACAAACCGACGATTTCTAAAAGTAAAAGATCAAGAATAATGTGTAATAACAATATAAATTTTATCATTCGGTGTTCAGTGGTAGTTACAAACGCTCTGATCGACGACTTCGGCCGGACCGGTCTTCTTCGGCTCATGTAACCTACTCTTAGCTCTTCGATAACGCTTGATGCGTTCGTCCTATATCGTCGGGTATACCAACAAAATATATTATTATACAATATTATGTACACCGAATACCGCTGCTAAATGCACACAAACGGCGCGCAACGAGTCCACAACCCTCGCGTGTGCCCTTTTGTGCATTTAGCTGCGTTCAATTAAGCTGTGTAATCAATGTGAACTGTTACCCGGTTCAAGGTAGCTTGCTGCACGGCTACAGAACGGATGTCTGGCGGTTTGGACGTATGAAATACGGAAGTGACGATGGAGAACTTGTTGGTCAAATGACGTCTTAGCTCAAAGGTCTGGGCGAAGTGGCGTGGTCGCTTCGGCCGGTTGCCACGGCCGTGAGTGCTGTATCCGTTGACGGAAACGACGAGCAAATCGGTTGCACTTAAGACTCCTTGGACCGACACCACCGTCACAGCGG